AAATATGTGTTCTTTATCAACAGAACTCATTTTTCTCTCTGAAAAATCCTCTTAAATCACCTATGAGTTGATTTGGCTCATATAGGTTTCGAAATTGACTTAATCCTTTAATTTTTTACTTTATTTTACTAATTTTCCTTTGTAATTCAGTGGTTATGAGAGAAAAAGATTGAAATTAAGTTTGAAACTTGATTATAGAAGATATTTTTATAGTTTGGGGCTATTAGCTGATACAATTTGTATTTTGAAGTCAGTGGTTTCAAGTATAAAATTGAAATTTGGTTTTCATTTATAGTTATTGTTACTTTCAATATTAAAAATATGAGTGTAGTTGATGATCCTTAAATCATAGTTTAATTGAGTATAGTTGATGATCCTTAAATGATAATCTTGACCTTAAATGATACTCATATTTTAATGATGAAAGTAACAATAACTATAAAGGAAAACAAAATTTCAATTTTATACTGGAAACTAATAACTTCAAGATAAAAATTGTGTTAGCTAATAGCCTCGAACTATAGACACTGTCTTCATATAACCAAGTTTCAAACTTGATTTCCATCTTTTTCTTTCATTACCACTGAATTAAAAAGGAAAATTAATAAAATAAAGTAAAAAATTAAAGTATACTCACAATTTTAAGTCTACGAAGAAGAAACCAAACTTGTCACTTTAACTTTAAACACTAATATATATAGCTATTAAATAAAAAATACCTATTAATAAACTAAATCTATAACTAAAACAACACAATTAAACTTTCAAACAAAATATCACTAATAAAATGAGTCTGTGAAGATGAAACCTGTCACTGAACAAGAACATGAATAGGTTAACTATCACTTTAAACACTAAAACGTACAACTATTCAATAAAAACTACCTATTAGTAAACTAAATTTATTACTAAAACAACACAATTAAACTTTTAAATAAAATATCACTAATAAAATAAGTCTGTAAAGATGAAACCTGTCACTGAACAAGAAACCAAAACAATCACTGAAAACACTAAAACGTATAACTATTCAATAAAAACTACCTATTAATAAACTAAACCTATCACTTAAACAACAAAATTAAGCTTCTGAACTAAAATACTGCTAATAAAATATGAAATTTTAACAGTTTTGAGGTGCCTAAAGAGCAAGCAGATAGCAAGGGACGATCCAAGATGGCCAACCAATCAGAAATCGAATCCATATGACCGCACTGTATTATTAAGCCACTGTAACTAAAACAGTGTTACCGCGCGCTCTGTGACAAAACCTCGTACTCAAGCCTCGTACATCCTCTTACGCTTGTTTATTCATAACTTGTACAATTATAAGCCCAGTGTTATTGTTTTTTTTTTATAGTAAAATTAGATCAGAATTTTTTATTTTTAGTTTCATTCATACATTTTAAAGCCTTTTTACATTACTTTTTTTAAAGTTAAAGGGTCAAGAAGTAAAATTAGAAGTAAAAATATATAAAAAAGTTTATATATTTTTGTAAACTACTGAAAACGTTATATTAACATTAAAATAGTTAAATAAACTTCTTAAAGTACTCTTCATAAGTATTCATTAGTAGATCCTAGATTTACTTTTGGGGGAAGGACTAATTTTTTTCTAAAAACAAAACAACTGCTTTTATGAAAGGATGTTAGTGGTTCTGGAAGGACAATAAAAATTAATTATTGGGGCATTGATGCTTTTAGAGATATCCATTATAATATAAAAAAATAATAGATTGTGATTGTTTCAGTATTTAGCTTACAATTATATTTCGCACAAAATAAATGTGGACCACTAAAAAAATACTTTTTTTTTCATTATTTAAGATGGGTTCATTATGAATACTAATTAATTTTTCAATTAATTACTTTACTCGATTAAAATCGAAAATAATGTTTTTATTAAATTACGCTAATAATTTAAAAACAAAATTAATTTATCTAGAATATATTTACAATTGCAGTTTTATGAAGGAAATAATAATTAAGAAGGAAATAATGGATATACTTTCTCGTATTTTATTTTATGCTCAATAAAAATGACGGTAAAAATTTCTGTTTAATTTTCTATTACAAAACATTTTAAAAAATTTATATTTATAAAAAAAGCTTTATGAAGGAAATAATGGATATGGTTTCTTATATTTTATTTTATACTGAATAAAATCTAAAAAAAAAATTTTTCTAGAAAATTAAAAAAAAAACATATATATACAATCATGGTTTTATGAAGGAAATAATAATTATACTCTAATTAAAGAAGATATAATTGCAATTTATATGTCTAGAAAGCAACAGAAGTTCAGTATTTCATACTAATATAAATATTAATACAGTAAAAAGAATTCTAAACTTCATTCATAAAAATATAGCCTTGCATTGCAAACGTCATTAAAACTTATGTACGAGGTACGAGGCTGGTCTATCCTCGTACCTCGTACATTACGTCATAACCTCGTACAAATACGAGGATCCTCTTACAAACGGCAACACTGCAACTGCCATTGCTTATCGTTCATTTGTTTAGCAGGTGATTAAAACCTGTTATTTAGTATTAAAATTGTACAGTCTTAATGTAGTAAATATATAACAAATCTTTAGCCTTTGATATCTGTTTAATATATGAGTTTGAGATATATGTTAACATGAACTTTTTTGTTTATTTTGTGTTAGTGAACACATACCTAAAACAGTGCCGTGTAATTATAAAACACCGTGTATATGTAGCAATGTCGTCTGCATATGCTATTACAGATGCCGTCATATAATTTTTCCCAATTATTACTGTTTCTATAATTTTTCTTCCAGTTTTCTATAACAGGATAAATTATATTGGGTATAAATTTATTTATTTATATTTAGAATTTTTATCTTGCCGGTTTGTATGGCTTTCTTGACTGAATTATTCGGATAATTTCTAAAACCTCAAGTTCAACCTCAGCTGATTTTTATATTAACCATTAGGGTTTGAAGAACATTTATACTAAAGTAAGATCTTGGTCGTCGTTGGCGCAAGGTACTTATCTTATGGAAATACGAAATTCCAGTATCTGTTGAGTAACAAAATATTCTAAGAAATCATGAAATTTCAGAATTTAGTAAGAAATAACTTATTATACTCGGGTCAACAAATAGTACAATTTTTTTTTTTTAAGAATTCAACAAAAATAGCAAAAATATATCTCATATATTAATTAATTTCATTGAAGAAAAATAATATTATTAATCTGCCACAATCTAGAGTATTAAGCATTATGACTCTATGTTTACATTCATATTTATATACAATTTAAATATATAAAACATGTAACTAAAAAAATATAAATTAAAAGAAAAAACGGTACTTTTAGTCTAAGGGGCCGTTTTGAAACCTCACTTCTTATCTAACGTCATGTCACATAACCTCCCTCTTCTTATCCCGCCAAACTTTTGAGTTATTGCATTGTTTAGTTTTCAGTTATTCCCTTATTACGTTCACTTATTAAATTGTTTACTTTTGGCCTGTTTGTGTTTATTTTTAGTTTTTGGCCCGTTTGTGTTTATTTTACATTTTTTTTTAGTTTGTGACCCCTTGGTGTTTATTTTTCATTTTTTTTTTCGTTTATTTTCGTCATATTATGGATCATCTTAGAATATGGGATTTACCGTCTTCAGAAGAATTAACTTAAAATAATTTGTATATACGTTGTTTATAGTGTTTATATTTTTTCTTTTCTACGTAAATATGTTGTTTTAAATTTGTTATGATGCCGATGTTATGATTATAATTTGTTATGATATTTGATGTTTTATATGTACATATCTTCTTAAAGTGTTTTTTATTATTTAATTAATATATTTGTCGTCAAATAAAAGTATTTTTGTTGTTATTACATTTGATTTTGTATCTGTTTACACTTTCAATAATACGAATTTAATACAATAATACGAAGATGTGAAGTAGGAGAAGGCTTATCATTGCGTTATGGGAGCTATCAGTGTTCAGGTTATAAACATTGCCAGATAGCAGTCAGTAGCGGCCCCTTAGACTAAAAGTACCGAAAAAACTTGTAAAACGGAAAAAAGTACATTAAAACAATAATAAAGAAAGAAAAAGAAAAAATTGTCACACATTCATAAAGATATATCCGTAGATAGTTTTTTGTGTTTTTAAAATACAGTATTTTGAATTTCAAAATTGTATACAGGTATGACTGTGTTTTTATGTTTTTAGTTTATTTATCTTTATGTTGTTTTATTTTTTATTGTACATAGTTTTTGATTATTATTTTACTTTTGTTAATTTGATATTTTCTATATATATGGTATGAATGTGTTATATCATATATCACTATAATTAATGTCCACGTGACAGATTGTTATATTTCTAAATAAATAGAGAAAAATTTCAAATTATATAAATTTCTTTCAGAAAAACTATTTCAGATACAAAATATCAAAACTATCTTTTATTTTATTACAAAATACTTACGTCTCATGAAGTGGTTCTATACAAATAATTCATTAAAAAATAAGTTTATTTTTGCAATGAAAGTAGATATAAGATTCGAAGACAGAGAATAAATTTTTAAAAAATAATGTGGAATAAATTACTTTTTCAATTAATATAATTTATAATAAAACGGCGGTTTTGTCAAATGATTTGATTTTCAATATTCTTCAAGGTATTTTATAAGGTGAATAAAAAAAAAAATGACCGTTTTTCATACAGAAAAAAATGTGAATTTTGAATTATGTCTTTTTATACGACGCCTCATCTCAAATGTTTTGGCATCTTTTTACAGTTTCATGCTTGAAACAAATCCTCAAAAACAATTTTTACGTATTTGGTTCTCCGTTTTCAATGGACGCCTTCTTGAAACGTTAAAAGTTTTATTCAAATTATTTATCTGTTGTTTTCGACTATCAAGTGTATAATTAATCTGAGATTAATGAATTATTACTTATAACATTACAATTTTATTTATAATACTTAAGATACATATTTAATTATTATACAGGATCAAGCCCATCAGGAAGATGATTTTGCTTCGATAAGAAAAGAAGCAGTTGCCAAATGTTCTAAGGAACACAATATAAATGAAGGTACGCTATTTTATCTGTTATCACAATAATTATACAACTTGAAGTACAAAGTATGTTTTTGCAGGCGCAATTAAGGACATCTTGAATCACATTCAAGTGGCACAAGATGAGGAAGTCAAGGTATGTTATGTTTTTTTAAATATTTTTTTTCTTCCCTTTTTCAGCTATATGGATTTTTTCCTGGACCAAGGGAGAGGGCGGGGTATCAATGCAAAAGTTAAAAACCGCCCAGCACTAGGTTTCGAACTAGTAATCTATCAGTTTCTCAGGCAAAGCAATGTTTTGATCTCCTTTAATTCATATACGCCATATTTCCTTGTATTTTAAGTTGAATAATAGACCTCAATGTTCCATATGTTTCCGATTTGGCCAAATCCAGATACCTATCCTTCCATAATAAACTTCATAACCATCCGAATCCTCTTGTTTCTAACCTTGCTTCCTCTTCGATTCCTGATAACCCTCCGAGGAGTCTGAAAAGAAGATGGCCTCGTGATCTTCTCATGTAGACAAATTATTAGAGCGCTACCAGTGGGTAGTTTCTCAACATGCGTGTTTCATGTAATAATATTTCTCTGTACAAATTTACTTGATGTATTTATACTAATACAGTTGTAAATATCATAATAAAAGTTTAAACAAAAAAAAAAAAGTTGAATAATCAAGCTAGGTTATGTATGTAATATAAAATCTTAATCGTTATCAACCTATAAATTACATATTACGTTATGTTCTTTCTAAAAAGTGATGATTTTTCGTCATATTTTGAATAAAAAATATCAAGATATTTAGATATAGTTGATTGTTTAGTAGGTTTGGGAATGATGTAACTCAGTGGTTCTTTCTTTAATGCTATATTATTCATTAATGCTCAAGGTCCCGGGTTCGAATCTCGGTCATGGCAGAAAAATTATTTATCGTGTTTCATCAGCCGTGGGGCCACCCTGGGACCAGGAGACCTTCCTGCGGCACATTACATCACGTCGAATCAGGGGGGCTTAATAATGAAAGAATTTTTTAAAAGATTAATATTTGCGGTACCGAATGGTAAACGTACGAAGGGTAGACCGAAGAGAAGGTGGGAGGATTTCATTAAAGCCGATCTGAAGGGACTGAGTTTGGACGGCGAACGATGGAGCGAGGTATGTAATAAGCGATTGGTGGTGTCGGCATCGAACCTTAGGGTTCGCTAAGCCTTTTATTATTATTTAAAAAACATTAAGCCAAAGGTCACAAATAATTTTTTGTGATAATTTTAACTTAGCTGAGTTTGTCCGTTCAACAGTCCTCCTTAAATGGTTTTATTATTGACAAAACCAATGGTTTTATTATTTTGAAGTAAATTTATATTTAACTATTTTTAATATAAGAGATTAATGTGAAATTGTCAACTGTTTCAAATAAAAAAAAATAAAGGTACTTTAAGGGAAGCTAATATTGAAAATTAGCCATTTAAGCCCTGTTAAAGAACATCCATCAAAATAAAAACTGCATTTTATTTAAAACTGCTCAATTTAATATGATGAATTTAATTAAAATCGTTGTTATGTATAATGCTCCTTTCTATGTAACCAACAAAACCCTACACCATGACCTTAATATCCCATTTGTCCTAGACCTTATCCCATCAACATTCTCCAAATTCCACCAGAACCTTACCCATCATCCAAATCCCTTTGCACAATCTCTATCCAGCACCACCCATCCATATAATCCAAGGAGGTTAAAACGGCAGTGGCCCCGCGACCTTTTATAGATTGTAAATATTGGAATTCTGGCAATGGCCAGATTCTCCACTCACGACATGAGTGTATGTGGCTTAAGCACTCTTGCTCAATCTCCACTGGGTTTAGCCCCAGTGACGAGGTTGAGAGAGAAGTGCTGGGATCTTCTGGAGCCATGCTTTTCCCTCCACACTTGGAGGGACAAGTATGGTTTGGAGTTCCCTCACCAGATTGTAAATATTTTATATAGGTATGTATGTGTTCTTTTTATTCATTTATTTTTAGGGTATTTTATTCTTATTTATTGTATATATGTCATTTTTCTGTATAATTTATTTTATTTACTGTACATAGAGTGTGAATGTGATCTGTGAACACTATTATAAATATCCTTGAGACAGATTGTAATATTCTTAATAAAAAAAAAAAAAAAAAATTAAAATCGTTAGAGCCATTTTCGAGATAATCATAAAAAATGTGTTCAGTCCATTATGTAAACTGCCACTTCTGGTAAGCCGATTTTGATGAAAAAGTTACTGTAACATCCCTACTATATAAAAACCTCAAATATGCAATTTCACTTCCGTAAGACTTTTCGTTTTTGAGCTACACTGCTAACACACACACAGTCCATTTTTCGAGACTTGGTTATTTGAACTCAGGGACCTCAAAAGGTATATTTCCGTTGAAAATTGAAATTCAATAATTTTCACGATCGCAATATTTTTGTTTTCTATATATTTCATATACAGAGGGGGCTTCATTTCAGGGGAAGGGGGCTTTCGGGCTGAAGCCCCCCTCCCCCAAAATGATAAAATATAACCATGTTTTTTCGAAAAAAATATTTAAAAAGTATCTCTTAAAGTATTATTGTTCGTGTAATTACATTTAAAAGGGCTTTAGGAATAACTTAAACATCATTTCATATAGGTAGTTAGCTTCTTTCTTTTATTCCAAAGTAATAATCGTTATTTTTATGAGAAAAAAAAATTTCGGGCTGAAGCCCCCCCCCCCAAAAATTAAATCCTGAATCCACTAGTGATATACAGGTAAGTGAAAGCAAAAAATTACTGATAATTTATTATTATTTTTATTTTTTTTAAACGGAACTTAGATGACTTTAATTATCCGTTTAATAGGCCTCCTTAATTGTCTTAAAGATGACAAACTCTACTTTAGTTTAAAGTAAATTTTGTCTAGTAGTTACTATGGAGTAATGTTTAATTACTTTAATCAAATATATTTTAAGTTATCGCTCCCTATTCTACAAAAAATGTGAAACATAAATAAACACAAATTTTAAATTTTCTATTTTTCTGCAAGAAATTGGGCAATTTTTTATTAGATCTTGAGGTCTGTATACCTTTTAAATATTCCCTCCTACTTACGGGACTCACTTTATAGTGAAAGGGCAAGGTCAATAAAACTACCAGGTTCGCTCACTCAGGAATGCGTGGTGGGGGAACTTGAAACGTGACGTAAGGAATAGACTGCCAGACCTACCTATTACTCTTTCAAGCCAATGAAGGCTTATTCCAACATTATTGTGCTTTTTTTTTTTTTTTTTCTTGTTTAATTTATTGAGAAGAATACTTTTCTATATTTTTGACGTTTGATTGAAGAAAATTTCAAGCAGATAAATAAATAAATACGGCTATCAATCTAGAATAAAAATTACAGGCCAGGCCTGAAATGAAAAGAACGAAATTTATATTAGGATTATTTATAAATTCTTTTTTTCAAAATCTCTGTAAATAATATATAAATATATTACATAAATAGAAAAAAACTAAGATTTATATATATTTAGAGAACATTTTAGCACAATGTTTGTGTAAATTTGTTTGTAGATCTCGTGGGTATTTCTTCTAATATTATAACGATATTATAATAATATTATAAGGGTGAAGATCTTTGTCAGGATTTGTTGTCAAAATTTCTCTAAATGAATAAATTAAATTTAAAAAATAAACAAATTTTACTGAAAATCGAGATAATTTATTTTCACCTTATTATCTTAAATCTTAACAGTCGACTACTTATCCGTCTCTAAAATAATATTATAACGAGTATTTATTTTTAATTTTTAATAACATGTTACAGAGAATTCGTTTGTTCTTATTAGTATTTCTCATAATAACATAATTATTAATAGAATCCTATAGAATGGCACGTATAAAATGCGCAATTGCATCTTGCAACAATAATCTAATTGACACAAAGAAGATGGAAAAGAAAATTTCATATCATACTTTTGCAAAGGACGCTCGAAAAAAAGATTGGATTTTAAAATGTAAATGTAAAAATATTGTAAAAAAAATTACTATCTTTTTCTTAGGAAACAAAATGTAGAAATTAATGAAGAAATCCTTTCTTTCAGCAAAGGGTATTTTATAGAATCAAATTTTTAAATACCCAATGATTTTTACAACAATTAAGAAAACATAAAATCAAAGCCAAAAAACTTGAGAAAAATCACTACATAGGATTACTTATGACATAAAAATGTAATATTTACAAAAATTCACTGAAAGAAAACGCTTCTTTAATGTTAGATTAAATACTTTTTCTTTTTTTTTTTTTCAATATTTCTATTATTTTATATTATGCTCTGTATTTATTTGAAATATTTAAAAAGTAGTATTGTGGTACTTAGCAAAAAATCATACATCAACTTGTTAAATTGCATTTTATTTACTTCATAATAAACCAAATATCAAATAAACCTTTCTCTCACCTTTCGAATTAATTAAAATTAATAAGTTATTTGGCAATACAGTATTGATTTAATGTATAAAAGTAAATAATAATCTTAAAATGTCCAGAAACAAAGGCCGGAGGGGCACGGGCGGATCTACGGGGGGGGAGCTTTCGGGCTGAAGCCCCCCCCCCCCAAAATGGAAAAATATAACCATGTTTTATGGGAAAAAAAATTTTAAAAATACCTCTTAAAGTATTATTGTTCGTGTAATTACATTTAAAAGTACTTAAGGAATAAATTAAACACCATTTCATATAGGTAGTTAGTTCCTTTCTGTTTTTCCAAAGTAATTATCGTTATTTTTATGAAAAAAGTAGGTTTCGGGCTGAAGCCCTCCCCCCAAAATTAAATCCTGGATCCGCTAGTGCGGAGGGGTAAACTTAGTCTTTTGGCTACGTCAGAGCTCAATTCCTCGCCGCCATTTTCCCTCTGAGTGAGCGAACCTGGTAATTTTACTGACCTTGGTGAAAGGCACTACATAATAATAAATATCTGTCTTCTTGTAACATATATATGTAATTTTTTTTTTCAGTGTTGGACAAATTGCGTTATGAAATCTTTGGGAATTGTAAGTATAATATGAATTAATTTTAGTTTAAAAAAGTGAGAAATGTTTTTTTACTTTTGATCTGATTACAGTTGAAGGAAAGAACAATCGATTGGGCACGGCTGGAAGATATTTTGAACTCGGCTTCTAAGAACGAAAACAAGACTCAAGTCCACCTGCTTGTAGAGATGTGCCGTTCCAAAGGTAAAAATAAATATCTGGTGCGGTGTGCGCATTACACAACTTTAACTTCCCTTCTTTTAGCATAAATAAATATTTTCAGATAAAGAGAAGAGATTTTAAAAATCACAGGCGGTACAAAATATTTTTTAAAATAATTACTATTTGTGCTTGTTCGTTTTGGTTGATTATTTATAATACTATGAAATAAGGCTGTGTTTTATTCTTTCTTCACCATATTTATGTCAGTCTACATCAGCTACGTTTCGGCTAGGAAGCCATTTTCAAATCATCTATAAGATAAACACTATTAATTTTATACACTGATGCAATTCTATATTCTATGGTAGTGGTATTGGTGTTATTTAACTTAATATTTTATGAATTATAACCCTAATTTCACTGAGTTTCCAATGCAAAGGTCCCAGGTTCGAACCCCGGAGCATGGCAGAAAATTTATTTATCTGTTTCATTGGCCGTGGGGCGACCCTGGGTCGGGAGACCCCACTGGGGCACACCCAGCCTCTATAAAGTGGGTACACTTAATTAAATAATTAAATAAGGGGGAAAACCTGGCGGTTGAGCGTGATCTCGGTCAAATCACCTCCTTGCACAACCGTTTAACTAGAAACAGTGCTTTCCCTAAATAGTACTGAACCCCAGACCCTTCATGGGTTGTAATGGTACAGGTTTTTATAACCTTAATTAGGTTAAGTCAATTTATTAATTTGTACCACTAGATAGAATTAGGTTGTTTTTTATTCAAAATCAGACACTAGTGGATCTAGGATTTAATTTTTTTTGGGGGGGGAGGCTTCAGCCCGAAGGATTTTTTTTCATATATATAACGATAATAAACATGAAAAAATATAAAAGAAAGAAACTAACTACTCATATGACATTGTGTCTTAGTGATTCTTGAAGTCCTATTAAATGTAATTAAATGAACAATAATAGTTTAAGAGATACTTTTTAATTTTTTTTTTTCTATAAAACATGGTTATATTTTAACATTTTGGGGGGAGGGGCTTCAGCCCGAAAGCTCCCTCTCTCCCCCCCTTAATCTTTCTGTGAAATCAGATATACCAAGGTACGATCATCGTGTAATAGGCGATTGGTGGTGTCGGCATAGAACCTTCCGGTTCGTTTAGCCTTTTATTATTATTATTTAAAAAAAAATTAGGCCAAAGGCCATTAATAATAAACGGTTTCACATTTTGTATTTAAAACAAAGATAATAATAAAGAACTAAAGAGCTGTCCAAATGTCAATACAAATTTTACATTGATATAATAAATTTTATCAAAATCGTTTTAGCTATTTTCGAGGAAATCGTAAAAATGCCTAAAATCGATTATATAAAGTGGCACTGTCGGTTGGCTAGTTTTGACGAAAAAGTTGCTGAAATATTCCAGGCACATACAAACCTTAAATACGCAATTTCAATATCGTACGATTTATATTTTTGAGTTAGACTATTCACACAGAGAGACTATTTTGCAGTTAATTTGCGGACCATCTTAACAGACGATACGAAGAACAACTACTGACTGTTGACTAGAAAATCAATTTTCAATTTACTACAAATTACTAATATACAAGACAATCCTGAAACCAATTTGCTACGGATTAGAAGTTTTGGGAACAGCGAAATTTCCTAATATCAAACAATAGCCCATGCTCCGTTTTATGTTTTATAACCATGTTAACCATTAACCATGTTTTATGGAAAATATATTATAAAATTATCTCTTAAAGTATTATTATGAGCTATGGGGCTCCACCAAACCTTCAAATTCCTCTCGCATACAATCCTTACAATCCAAAATCGTTCGTAAAATCCTCAATGCTCCTTACTTCGTTACAAATAAAATTATCCATAATGACCTTAATGTTCCTTATGTATCAGATCTGGCCCAATCCAGATATCTGTCCTTCCATAATAAACTTCATAACCATCCCAACCCTCTTGTCTCTAACCTTACTTCCTATTCGATTCCTGATAACCCTCCGAGGCGTCTGAAAAGAAGACGGCCACGTGATCTTCTAATATAGACAAATTATTAGAGTGCTACCAATGGGTAGTTTCTCAACATGTGTTCCATGTCTTTATACCAATGTGCGAATTTACCAGATGTATTTTTTGTATACAGTTGTAAATATCATATTAATAAATAATAAAATAAAGTATTATTGTTCGTGTAATTACATTTAAAAGGACTTAAGGAATCACTTAAACACCATTTCATATAGGTAGTTAGTTTCTTTCTTATTTACCAAAGTAATTATTGTTATTTTTATGAAAAAAAAAGCTTTCCGGCTGAAGCCTCCCAAAATTAAATTCTGGATCCGCTAGTACCTTACACCATAACGTTATATATCGTCCAAATCCATAGCACCACCCATCCCTAAGACAAGAACTTAACCGAAGATACGGCCAATTATACAGACTACTGACCAGAAAATCTCAACTTTCAATTGACAACAAATTACTGATCTACAAGACAATCCAGAAATCTATTTGGACCTACGGACTTGAACTTTGGGGGACAGCAAAATTCTCTAACATCAAATGCATCCAATCCTTTCAATCCAAAGTCCTCCGAACAATAGTCGATGCTCCGTTCTATGTAACCAACAAAACTCTACATCATGACCTTAATATCCCATTTGTCCTTGACCTTATCCCTGAAAAATTTTCTAAATTCCATCAGAACCTTATCAATCATCCAAATCCCCTAGCCCAATCCCCATCTAGTTCCACTCATCCCTACAATCCTCCTCGAAGGTTAAAACGGCAGTGGCCCCCTGATCTTTTATAGATTGTAAATAATGGAGTTCTGGCAGTGGCCAGATTATCCACACTCTTTAACACCAGTGTTGACAAGAGTACTTTTAGGTGATTGGATAGAAAGTCACATCATTTCTTTACATAACTGGAGGGGGATCTCAAAATTTTGCCAAATAAATCTCAACTTAATTAATTTAGTCTTAAAGCTAATTAAACGAGGTAGTTTTTCTTCAAGTGTGGTAACTGTAGTACAGTTGAAGGGTGATAAAAAAATCACAAATAATTTTGACTTTTTTTAAACGAAACTTAGCTGAGTTTGTCCGCTCAAGGGCCCTCTTTGAATGATTTTAACAATGACAAAACCTACTTTCTTTTGAAGTAAATTTTGTTTAGTTTACTATGGAGTAATGTTTAATTACTTAAATCAAATATTTTATAAGTTAATGCTTCCTATTCAACAAAAACTGTTGAAAAAAAAAAGCTAAAAAAAAATACAACCTTAAATTTTCAACTTTTCTGCTGAAAATTAGGCAATTGTTTATCTAAACTTTTTTGTAAATCTTGATGTCTATTATCTACTTTTGAAATACTCTCTTCTACTTACAGAACACTTTTTATAGAGTTCAGAATAGATAACTATTTTTCTTATTGATAATCCACATGTTTGAGACCATGTTTGAATAAACAGATCTAGACAGCAAATCCTAATTATTTACAATATTAATAATTTAAAAATTAAATTAAAAAAAAATATTCATTTGTAAATTGTTACGGTTTTTCTTGATGATTAGTGATCTTAGTGAGGCATTAAAACAAGTAGCTAATTTTAAAAATCGCCAACCTATCATCCAACTCAGATCTTGAAATAGCATCTTTGGGCCTGCAAATGAATCCAAATGCAAACACATTACCTTCACGCTCCGGCACAGATCCTGTCTACTAGTCCACTTTAATCCAAACTCATCCAATGCTTTCAGTCCAAAGTCCTCCGAACCAATAAAACCCTACATCATGACCTTAATATTCCATTTCTCCTAGACCTTATCCCTCAAAAATTTTCCGAATTCCATTAGAACCTTACAAATCATCCAATTCCGCTTGCACAATTCCTATTGAGTTCCACTCATCCCTACAATCCTCCTCAAAGGTTGAAACAGCAGTGGCCCAGACACCTTCGAGTTCTGGCAGGAGGCCAGATTCTCCACTCAAGACATGAATGTATGTGGCTAAAGCACTCTCGCTCAAACTCCACTGGCTTTAGCACCAGTGGTGCGGTTGAGAGAGTAGCACAGGGTTCATCTGGAGTTCCCCCGCCTGATTGTAAATAGGTATGCATGTGTTTTTATTTTTGCTTAGTTTTAGGGATCTCTTGGAGACCTGCTTTTCCTTATTTCATATCCTTATCATAGTTGGAGAGACAAGCCTGTCATAGTTGGCGTTCGCTGCCTGATTGTATTTATTGTATATGAGTATGACTGTGTTTTTATGTTTTTAATTTACTTAACTTTAGGTTATTTTATTTTCTTATGTTTTCTGTATATATGGTGTGAGTGTGTTCATATATCACTATAATTATTTTCCACGGGACAGATTATTACATTTCTAAATAAATAAATAAAAAATTTAAATAATAATAATATTCATTGAAAATAATAGATCACACTGATGTTTATTTAGTTGATCAAGCCGATAAGAATGAATGTCAAGTTGCTTACTCTTTGGTGGTTTGCAAGATTAAGTATTGGAACCAGGTAACTCAAGTTAATAATATTTAGTTAATTAATTATATTTACCCAAAAGAACTTCATTTATTTGTTTATATTTTTAAATTTTAGTTGGGCCTTCCTAAAGGAAACTGGGAATAACTCCATTACTGCTGAAAACTGTAGCTGAACCCTGGCAATGGATTCATAAATAATAAAAACAGCACATTGTACTTATATTATCAAAATAAATAGATTTTATTAATATATCTTGTGTTATTTTTTATTTTGATCCTTTTTAATCTATATTAATAAAAATGTAAATGTTCGTTTGTTCAAAACTGCTAATCCCCGAAACTTCTTCACTAGGCAACTTATTTCTTATGTGAAAATCACCACTTTTAAATTTTTAAAGCACTATCATTTAAGAACAGTCCTGTCAATGAATGATCGAAAAGAAGGAAAAGGCGGCGACACAATTGTTGACTTTGGGACATTGTTTGAACTGGTAAGGAGGTAAACATAGTAAAATTTCCCACTCCTAGGTGATGAGCCAGATGTGAGGCGGGGAACGCCAGGTAGTTCACTTTTATCAGGTTTTCGCGTATATCAGGAAAATTATTCATCTCATCAAGAAAGATGTTCTATACAAAATTAAGGGTGATAAAATTTGCAATATGATTGATTATATACCTTTTTTCGCAATCTCGTTTAGTTTCCGAGATATCTGTTGTTAGCTATAGCTAAATTTAAAGAAAAAAAAATTTGCCTCCTGTTTATTGCAGTTTTACGAGTCTTCACTTATATCAGGAAGACTATCAAAAGACGTTCTAAACAAAATTAAAGATGATAAAATTTGCAATATGATTAATGATATACTTTTTTTTGCTGTCTCGCTTAGTTTCCAAGATATCCATCCTCAACTATCACTAATGTGGAAGAAAAAATTTTTAACCTCATGTTTTTTACTTTATTAAACTAGTTAACTTTTGATTGCTTGGTTTTACGATGAAGTTATGAGAAGAAAGCTTTTAATAATTAGTTGTTTTAATAATTATTTTTTCTGCAAATTCTCGGAATCGACATTTATAGTTACAACTGATTTTTTGAACTTAGAAAAACTAGTATATTAATAAATATTCTTCAAGAAAATTTAATAATTAAAAACTTTCTTCTCCATGACTTAACTATAAAACAAAGCACTCAAAAGGTAGCTAGTTAAAGAGAGAGAATCACTTTATTATCACAAAATAAAATAAAATGGTGCTGCCCAATTACATTGGGTTGCCAACAACACATGAGGTAAAAATTTGTTGTTTCCACATTAGCGATAGTTGAGGACAGATATCTCGGAAACTAAGTGAGATCGAAAAAAAAAAAATTTTATCAAACATATTAAAAATTTTACTAGCTTTAATTTTTTATAAAACATCTTTGTCGATGGGATGGACAGTTTTCCTAATATATGCGAAATCTCGAAAACTAGATATAAACACGAGGCATATTTTTTTTTTCTTTGAAATTAGCCATAGTTGATGACAGATATCTCGGAAACTAAGTGAGATTAGAAAAAAAAAGGTATTTAATCAACCATGTTACAAATTTTATCACCTTTAGTTTTGTAAAGATCGTCTTGTGGATGCGATGGATTGTCTTCCTTAATAAATTGTCTTCCTTAATAAAAGTGACTTAATATAGCACTGGAGCCAGGGCCTGAAAATCGACTTCATTGCAGGCAAAGTTTTGATTGTAAATTACGAAAGTATATATTATTCTGTGTAAAAAGAATCTTGTCTGCCATTCCAGAGCCGCTACTTTAAAAAATGGTGGCTGATTTAAAGAATATTAGGCCAGTAACTTAGGATCGAAATGGAAAACCCATTGCAAAAATGTGAGAAAAGTTTATACATTTTTAAATTGTATATAAACTTTTGGTCGAAGGAACTTTTGGACGAAAATACTGAAGATGAAAATCAAGAAGCTGGACGGTCGAACATGATCTCGATGGAAGAAGATTTTATCAGCAAAGAAGAAATTGTGGATGATATTGGCACAATGAAAACAGGAAGATCAGCAGGAATAGATAGGACTGCTCCTGAAATGATCAAGTATAAGAACCAAAAGGGGATAGAAGTATCTGTTATAGTCCCAATATTTAAGAAAGGGGATAACAGAGAATGTATAAACCACCGGGGGATATCTCTTCTTAGTGTCCCGAGTAAAATATACTCAATGCCTACGAAGAACAGTGGAATCCTCCCTGAGTGAAGAACAATATGGATTTAGGCCAAATAGAAGTACCCAGGATCTCATCAGCTTGAAACAAATTTCTGAAAAATTAATTGAAAGGGACAAAGAGATATACGCCTGTTTTGTAGACCTCACTAAGGCATTTGATCGAGTGAAGAAGCAAGACATAGCAAATGCCTTGGAAGACAAAGGCATCGAAACAGGCCTTCGTTAGGCAATTTTAAGTCTCTATAAGACCCAAAGAAATGTTGTGAGAACATGCAATAATATATTGGAAGAGTTCACAACTAATCAAGGTATTAGGCAAGGGTGCAGTGTAAGTCCTCTGCTATTTACACTAGTGCTAGATAATGCAACAAAAATAGTAAAACAAAATATGAGGTCATATCAAGTGGGATACAGAAATCTACAGCCTGTATTTTTCTCTCTGTTCGCTTATTCAGACGATCTGGTGGTTTTCGGAAGCAATGGACGAAAACTGCAATTCAACCTATGCATTCTTCAGGAAGAATTAAATAAGATAAACATGCAAATAAATGTGGAAAAAAACAAAACTATGAGGATTGGCAGGAAACAAGGAAGAGGAGACAGAATAGTGCACTTGAGTGGAGTCCCATTGGAACAAGTGAAAACTTTCAAATACCTCGGTGCCCACATCAATGAACATGGATGGATCGACAGAGAAATAAAGGAAAGAGTGAAATCTGCAGGAAGGTGCTTCAATGCCATTAAGCAAGAATTCTTGAACAAGAGAGAAGTGAGTAAAGAGACCAAAACGACCGTGTACAAAAATACTTTCCTCCCGATAATGACCTATTCCAGCGAGTCATGGACCCTCACCACAAAGCATATCAGTCAGATTCAGGCCATGGAGATGCGATTCTTGCGCAGGGTCGAAGGAGAAACAAAGAGAGATCGCATAAGAAACTCCATAATAAGGAAAAATCTGAATGTAAGATCAGCTGAAACTGTGATGGAGGAAAATCATTTGAGATAGTTTGGTCATGTCTCTCAAATGCCAGAGAATTGAATGGCCAAGATAGCGTTGGAAAGTAAAGTGGAGGGAAGAAGAACTCAGGGAAGGCCCAGGAAGACCTGGGAAAACAGTGCTAAGGAGGCCTTTGACAGAAGGGATATCGACTGGAGGAGGAGGCGGCAGTTGGCTCAGGATCGAGAGTTGTGGATTCGGCTCTACAAGAAGGCTCCTCACACCGCCTAGCCGAAGAAGAAGAAATTGTATATATGGATTTAGACATGTAAAAAAGAAAATTGCTAACACGGGCCACTTAATAAGGAAAAACTTTTCACAGCCAAAAAAAAGTCAGATTTTTTCGATATTTTTTTGTTTTTTCACCTATAACTCCTAAACGATACATCAAAGTGAAAAATGTACTCGTTAATAAATTAGAGAACATTAAATTATATGTCGAATAAGTACATAAACTTTATAATTTGCTTATGTGGTAAGGTATAATACTATGGTGTATAAAACTAGGTAAAAAAGGTATATAAAACTATGGTGAACCAATGCTGATTTTTACCAAATTTGTCAAAAACTGAGATAAATTATTATAAATGGCCCTGCAACTTGTAAATGAGTTCCCTAAGAAGAAAACTCATAGGATCAAAGTAGTAGAGCATCAAATTTTACGTCACCTGAATACTAACATTTTTATTGTAGGCCAATTATATATCTCTAATCAGGATCAAACTGATGCTATTGTATGAAACTTGTATTATTGTGTGATGAAATGTTTGCCAGCTGTCGAAGAACCAACATGACGGTATTAATGTGATTAAACAGTAACTATATTAACAACTTGAGCCACCTATGGAAAACTCACTTTGAAATTACTCACAAATTTAGCAAACATTTTGAGATACATGGCTTGAAGCGTTGAGGGTTGCTGCATCAACTCAATTCACTATAGCTATTATAATAAACAATGAAACTGAATACTTTAAATTAGTTTTAGCATGTTAACTTGAATGATCCTAATAGGTTATCAGTTTGTAAGATGGAAGATAAAAATGTTCTCTTAATAGTTTTATGTAAAATATATATTTAACTAATGTACTAAAACAAAATTTAAAAAACAAAACAATTAACTGTAGAAATTTACAAACAATCAGAAATCTACTGAAGTAAATATTTTTAATCCCAATTTTACAATACGTATTTACTAATACTATGATTAAATATGTACATAGTTGTGTTGATTGAAACAGGTGAGTTATTAGGCCTATCACTACTCAATCAAATATATCACAAGAGTTTATACATTGAAGAGTTAATTTATGTTTTCCTAGTTTATTATTATTAAGATTATTTTCATTTATTTTTTAAATCTATTACTCCATTCTCATTGATACAAGGTACACTTTATCACACATTTCTGAAATTAATATAAAAATAAATTATGCTTAAATTTATACACTGAAAGAAAAATAATTAGAGACAGTCACATTTGAACAAACTGAAATTATTGACATTTCAGTTTGTTATAAATAAATTAAAAAATTCCGCGGACAGCTTAGAAATGTTTCCTTGTAGTTACAGCTCTCGACAGTGACTGTCGTACTACCACCGCATTTCAACGGCTATATTTTATGAACAAAAATTTATTTTGATGTGCGTTGTGTCATCAGTCGTAATCATCAGGTTTCAATATTGTTTCTAATGGGTTAGGACCCTTTCTTTTCGGACTTTGGGTAACGGTCATACCTAAAAAATAGAAAAACAATTCTCATTACTAGTTTCTAAGGAAGAATAAAAATTATAATATTAACTATTAACTAGAAAATATTTTTAAAAACAGTTATTAAGGGTGTTTCAGGATTAAGTGGCCAATCGATGGCTTGGCCGCCCGCCATGCTCTATAGAATTTTCAGACCACAGGATTTTTTTATTTGTGATATTGAACAAAAATCTATTAGTGGAAGAAAGATGCTGAGCCTGTCTTAATTCTTAAGATAATCACTTTGAACAACATTCAATATGAATGTTAATGTTTAATTTTCATTAATAAAGTTGTTGAAACTTATAATAATTTATTTATTATAACTGAAATAATTCATAATCATGAAAATGTTTAGATGTTAATATCTCCTAAACAAAACTAAAAATATTTCATAGTACACTTATACTTTTAACTATATAATATTGGGCTGTCCGGAAAATAATGCAGGATTTTAAGTTTTCTTTAAAATAGCCCTCTATATAATAAACTGTTTACTGTATGTGTAGATCATGGAAGGACTTCCTCTTTTGATAAGGATGTTCTGCAGGGTTTGGTGGAAGAAAACACCTGAACAACTGTTCGAAAACTTGCAGGAAAATCTTAGAAAATAGACTGTCGATGGCCACCTCAAGGCAATTGGAAAGGTAAAAAAGCTTGAAAGTTAGGTTCAACACACATTAAACGACCGCCAAAAAAAATACAGCGTTATGAAGTTTGTGCTAGACTTCTTTGCCGAAACAAAAACAACTCTTTTCTGTCCAGTGGCTCATCAAAGGAGAGCAGCAGAACATTTTCCAAAGTCCCCAAATCATCAAAAAAAAGATGATGGATGGTTACTTCATGATAGTGGGCTTCATTTGGTTTGATACACTACAGCTTCATAAATCCTGGAGAAACCATCAATGCCAAATCGTACTGTAACCAAATTAATGCAATGCATCAGAAATTGGCAATAATGAAGCCATCTTTGGTCAATCGGAAGAGGCCCATTTGTTGCATGACAACGTATGAAATTCTGCCACATCAGCCCTACTCTCCGAACCTCTACTTATATGACCAAAAATTTAATGGATAAAGGGAATAGAAAATGCATTTTTGTAGTTTATCAATTCTAAAGACGGGAAATTCTATTCCGAGGGAATGGAAAAGTTGCCAACATGTTGTGAATCTTTCTTATTTCTTTTTAAACCAAAATCCTGCATTATTTTCCAGACAACCCAATAATAGAATCATTATCTATTTTATATGAAATATTTACAAACCAAAATCAATTTTACTCAGATATTATCTTAAATTTGAATTATTTTAATAATATTTTGGTTGTTAATAAACAAGAGAGCAGGGCAGTTCATTGGGTAAGGCACTGACTTCCTAAGATCAAGGTATCGGGTTTGAGTCCAACTGATGTCAGGTAATTACTTATTCTGTATTATCAGGTACGGATCAGGAGACCCTCCTGGGACACAGTCTCTATAAAGTTGGTACTATTGATTAAATAATTAATTAAGAGAAAAAACCTGGAGATCGAGTGTTATCCCGGCCCAATCACTTATGTGCACAACTGTTGGCCTTGAAATAGTACTTGCTAACAAAGTATTGAATCCAAGATCTTTCATGGGTTGTAGTGGTACAGGTTGTTATTTTATTAACGGTTAGTTGATCAAAAATTTTGAAACAGAAATTATGTCATGTCACTAGTTGCTATTATTTTGTAAAGAAAGTGAAATGACGAGCTAACTTGTCACCACTCAACAATGCGTTAATAAATATTGAATTCATTTTTAGAATATCCATTCACCAAATTGACGATGCTGACCCTAAATGTTATTTGGTATGGTACCTCTGGTATATGCTATAGGAAAATGAAGGGCCTTTAAAAAAAAAATCGAGCCATCAAAGAATTGAAGTTTGAGTTATTGAGAGATGATTGTGGAAACATTTACCATTAAAATAAATTATAAAACAAGCAATACTAACCAACTGCAGAACTTTCGGTGTCTAGACAGTTCACCCACTCAGTCAAACTGATTTTCTTGTCGTGATTCACGTCACAATACCTGGCAAACTTTTTTCCGCATCTCTTCACATTCGGGCTGAACGAAAGAAGTAAAGTTCGTAGAGGGCCCATTTCTTTTTTGTCCAAAAACTGTAACACAAAATATAATAAGTAATGATATTTAAATCGATATGTAAAAAAAATAAGATGAACATTTTACTGTAAACATTATTCATTATTAGTGATAAAAGCGGGTTGAAATTTATTTTGTGGCGGATCCACGGATCAATCTCGACCTTCCCACTCCGGTTAGAATAAGTTTGGTTGTGCCTCTAGAACAATCCCCCCCCCCTCCCTCCTCTCTCCTCCAATCCTGACATTGTCATTAAAATGTAAAGATTATAGTAGACATCCCCTAGTATTTACTCCTTTATGTGACATTGTGTGAGGGAATGAGAAGGAATATATAATATATAGGAATGTGAGGTTGCACGATGAATTGTACTCAATTGTGCAGTGGACAAGTTGTTCATTGAAAAGTCTCATATCGATAAACAATCGATGAAGAAAGAAGGTTGGAATAGGACAGAGCAGGTAGCAGCAGCTGGTGAAGGATGCCAGGGAGAGAAGAAGGCATTCTAGGCCGGGACAGGTAGAAAGGAGGTTGTCAGAAGAGAGAAGAACTTACTTGAGGGCTGGACACAAACACAAGAAGACGTCACCTGGGAAGAGAGGCTTACTACATTGAAGACTGAGAATATCAAGCCTACAGTTATTAGACTTTAATATATTGACTTAGTGTATTTACTAAGTCCCACATTTCAAATATATATTCTTATTGTTTCTTCTCACTCAGTGTCACAAAAGGTATAAGATTTCCGAATTCCCAAAGGCAGTTAAACACCCTCAAAAAGTCTATATCCAGTGCCGGGGTTATGTTTTAATAATCATGAGTGTAAATAACCTAGTTCTCCGATAAAAGCGGAAGGCTATTCGACAATTTCTGCCAAAAAAGATTATTTATATTTAAACTTTTATCATGTTATTTACAAGATGTTTTATTTTAATTGAAATTAAAAATCTATGAATAATAAATAGCAAATAAAATAGGAATAAAACATTAAATATATACCTTATTTTTGCTGGTGTCAATTACTTGAAAAGTCCAAATAGCAAACTGTTCTCCGGTTGGGTCTGAACTACTGTAATATAAATCATTCATGTTCTTAATAAAATATAATTAAATAATTTATATATATATATATATGTATGATATGATAAATATGATAAAATATTTACCTGGGATATTTTTTAATGAAAAACTCTCTCAGTTCATTGAGGAACATAATCTTCTTCTGTTCTGGACAACCTTTAATAAAAGACAAAATACTTATTAATTATAATTTATAATGTCAAGCATGAATTTGTATGTGAATTGAGTTGGTATTTTCTGGGGTACACTAATTAATTTCCCACCCCCACCCAACCAAATTATCTGATGATTTATGCGAAACTTCAAAATCCCTTCTAGATTGAATTAGAGGGTTAAAAAATTGTCTGTAAATTGAACTCAACTTTTTGTCTCCCAAACTTGCCATTTCGATAAATTTAATCCAGAAATAGATTACTCACTTACTCCCCGGCTCTACAGGCCTTCCAGACTATATCCCTCTGTCAATCACGGTCCTTGGCAGCGTTCATCCAATTCACGACACCTAACTTTACAGCATCCCTCGTGACCTCATCCCTCCAGCGGCTCCTCAGTCATCCTTTTTTTCAATGATGGCCATGTCTAGCATCTTCTTCTGAACCCTCTCTTCGTTCATTCTGGCAACATGACCTGTCCACCGCAGCCTACCTGCTTTTATATAAACTATATCTTGGTTATACAGAATGGCTGCAATTTCTGCATTGCTCTTGATCCTCCACTTTCCATCAATCTGTACAGCCCCGTATATCCTTCTTATAATTCACCTCTCAAAAACTCTCAGTTCTTGACAGTCTGTCGATGGTAGGCAACAAGTTTCCGACCCATAGGTGACAACCGGCTTGATCAGAGCATTATACATCTTTAGTTTGGTCTTCCTAGAAAGATCTTTGATCTGAGGAGTTTCAGATTCGCATAATACTCCCTGTTTCTATTTTGTATTTCACGGCTGATCTTGTTTCCTATATTTATTGAGGAACCTAAGTAAGTGAAGCTAGTCACTCTTTAAAATTTATAGCTGAAAAGGGAGATGCTGTTGTTTCTATGATTAGTTGTGGCTTTTAATAGCATATATTTTGTATTTCTTTATTTAGCGTGAGCCTAAACCTGCTACCTCTTTTTACAATAATTGTCGAAGTGCTGCTTCACTTCTGGGCAAAATAACCAAACCATCTGCATACGTGCAATTTGCCAAAAAGAGATAAAAAAAATTCTATTGAATTTTCTTGTGACTTACCATCGACAATAGATGAACTATTTTGTAATGTTTTAATAATATCTAGGCAGTTAAGCTCAGTCAGAAGAAGCAGATTCCTCAATATTGTTTTTTCATTACTCAGGTGTTACAGGTGAAGCAGGATTGTTCGAAATAGTAATTGTTTAACTTTTTTGAAATGTAGCGTCCATAAAGAATAGTCCATGGTACAGACCTCTTTTAATCAAATTATTAACATCTGCTTAAAACTTTGTAAATAGCTTCATCTAATTACAAATTATTTATCTACGAAAATTCTTAGAAGTGGACCATTTTCTAATTAAATTAATTAATTTAATGGGGCACTAAAAACTCATAAATACCCATTTGCTTACTGCTTGAATTAAAAAATAATTTGGTCACAATTATTATTCTCTCAATTTCATGATAAAATTATCGAATGATTTAAGTGGACAGCAAATGGGTGTTCATAAGTTTTAATATTAGTACTTAATTGAATAGACAAAGTTTGCCGATCTCCAGCTTAGGAATTGGGTCCTAAACAAAAAGTTGAAGATTATAATAAGAAAGCTATTCACGAATTCTCTGGAGAAAACAAACTCTGAAGAGTCAAGGCGCAAGCTCACCGGCATTCATAAGTTACTATAAGCTGGTCATTCATAAGTTACTATAAGCTGTTCATTCATAAATTACTTGATCTATAGTAAAACCCTAAGTTTTATTAATCTATTTTTAGGACTCTTTTTTCTTCTTCTTTCATTAACATTTTGGCCCAATGTCCATACAATTCTTTTGTTTCTTTAAAATGTCACATACTTGTGTTTTTTCTAATTTTGAATCGAGCGGCTAAATTCCAAATATTACATTTTTCACATCCCATACACTCTTTAATAATATCAATATTTTCTTTAACAGTTAACTGGAAGAGAGTTGACATATTGACAATATAATTTGCAGAACAAACAATAAAAGATAAAAATTGATTACTTAATAGTTGACAATTGTATTATTAAGGAAGGAGATGGTCGGGGGTAGCGATCATAAATAGTGGTATAGACGAAATAGTGGCAAAACTAATTTATTAAAAGCCAACGTTTTGACCCTAGTGTAAGTCTCTCTAATACACCTTTAGGTCTCTATTTTTATTCTTCTAATTTTATTTACTTATTTTTTGGTTTTCTTTTTTTACTCCACATCCCTTTATGTCCATTATTTCATATTATATTATTTTTCCTTTTCTTCCAATCTCTCCTGTAGATCTGTAGTATATTCACAATTGCATATATTATACTACAGCAATTGTTACCATTCATTTACTTCAGTTTAGGATCTTATTACTTAGCTTACTCTGTTATATTTTAATGTACTTACTGTTCATGATTTTTATAAGTTTAATCACACTGTTTATAATTTTTTTCCTAAATATTATGTAACTTCCACAATTCTCTATATCTGTTTGTATCTGTCGGTTCTAGCCATGAAGAAGACCTGCAAAGTCGCGTCGAAACGTTGGCTTTTAATAAAATAATTTTGCCACTATTTATGACTGCCACCCTGGACCATCTCCTTCCTTAATAATGTAACGGTCAACTATCAAGTATTCAAATTAGGTAAATGTTCTTAGAATGTGAGCCTCACTGACTTCCTGCTGTCAGGAGAAACTTTTCAACCAAAAGTCTTGCATTGAGTCGGTCATGTAGAAGTGAATTATATTTTAAAATTATTGAAATATTATAAATTATAGCATTATAAATTTGTCAGTTATACAGAAAAGTTTGCTGTAGAAAAGTTTCACAGTATATATAATTATTTATTACAACTATAAATACAACCGTAAGTATTAGGATTGCCATATATTAACTACCTTTCATTGGTCTCATTGGTAACTGAAGAGTATCACACTTGGGATTGATATATTTCCGAGATGTTCCAGGGATCGGTTTGCCTGAATCCTCATTGACGCACCAACAATAGCCTGTTCAACAAAGATAAATGATGAATTAATAATTGCTCAGAATTAATTAATTGAATAAAAATTAGTGTATATATATAAAGCTTCATCTTATCATAACCTACAAATTATTCATCTACAAAATTCTCAGAATTGGGGTATATATTGTAACATCTCTCTTATATTTTACAAATAATAATTATAATATAACATGGCACGTTAATAGGATATTAGTCATTTAAGGATAGAGAAGGATATACATCTTTGAAAGTTTGAAAAGAAAAGGGACAATTGTAAATTAGTGAATTTCAGTTCCCACTATGTAAAATACGGTAAAACAGAAAAATGAGATAAACGATGGTGAGATTTGACAAAATGAATAGTAATTACAACTGAAAAATTGAGTGACTTTTCACTCTAAAAAAAGCAATAAATGAAATAATAATAAAGAGATTCATAGAGTTAATGCACAAAGATGAGTAGAAACATAATCTAAAAGAACCATTCTCTGAATATTTAGTAATAATGAAGATAATAAGTAATAATAAAGATATTAAATAAATAAAATAATACTCTTTGAAGAAATATGAGAAAAAAAGACATAGTAAAGTTTTGGGTGTCTAGGAACAAAACATGAAGCAGAAGGTAACTATTGGGTTTCCATCATTCAAATGCAATTAGATCTTTTGCATCTAACATGCCCTCTGCAACACCAAATGTATTTTGATTTTTCCTGCGGCCTTTTTCTCTCTTGCCAGCCAGTAAAGATGGCAATTGCTCAAGTTCATCTCTTTTCCAATTGATGTGCCATGTGATGAACTTTCTTTTTTTTTCTTCCAAGTTGTATCACCTTGTCCCGGATCATCTGGCGGACAAAACGCATCGACGGTGGTCTGGTGTCCTCTCTTCTAGGACGCTTTCTCTCCACAAGATCCAGGTCCTCGGTATTAAGTTTGATTATTAAGCAGACTGACAAAACTATTCCCTCAGGCGTTTCTCTGGTCTTCCTGGAGATCACTCTTAGCTTGAGCGAACGAGAGAGTTGGGCTTGTTCTGCACAGTTTAGTCTTTTACTTTGGTGAAAAAGTTTCCTTTTTATGGAAATTCCAATGTTAGGAAAAAAAGAGATACAATTTTAACAATCAAAGCCTATTCTGAGCTCAGTTTAATCTATATTTTAATAATATCAGTAAAATGGACATAAAACGAGTAGTTACATATTATTTCCTATATATTTAGGCGGAAATAATTTTTAATTTCATTAATACAGAAAAAAGGTAGAATCTGACTGAATAAAAGGGAAATAAAAAAAAAAATATGACGGAAACGCTGGTTGAGATGTAGATAATAGTACTTGAATGTATTTATTAAAAACTGGTACTGAACTTGAGTACATGAATCAACAAACTCTGATCCAGTCCGTTAGTGTTAGTTGAGATCTACTCAGTGTTCAGGTTATAACATTAATTACTTTTCTAGTTTTCTTCAGAATTCTAGATTCAACAAAAAGAATTATAAAACAGACCCTCCAAAGTTCACTGAAGGAGAAATATGTGCAAACAATTGAAGGGAAACGATGGAGTGGATTGCTGGAAGAAAATGGCAGGATCCCTAGAGACCTCCCTAGAGGGCAAGCCGTGGCATGCTTTAGAATTGACCATGATTTCCTTCAGAAGCACCTCCAATGCATCGGTGTAAAAGATAGCCCGACATGCCCTCTATGCTCCTTAGACATAATGACAGGAGAACATCTTGATACATGCCCTGCATTACAGGACATGAGATGTTCCTTTAATGAAATGAACAGCCCTTATACTCGGAGATCAAAATTATATTGGACTGCAAGAGCACGCAAGGCTGATCAAGCAGGCGTTACTTAGGCATAGTAAAAAAAAAAAAAGTTTTCTTATGTGCTAATTATATTTGTATCCATTTATGCAAGGCCTTGGATAAGAATCATATTTTAAAATAATAATCTGAATTATAGTAATTTGGAATAATCATGAATAAATTGTCAACTTTAATCAAAACTAGATGAAAAACATATAATGATAATATATGGTGATTGACTTAGTAAGTCTCATTATTTCTCTAACTTTATTGATCTTAGGTTATGAAATGTGTTTTAAATTTTCTGATAGTAATTTTATAAATTTCTTATTAATTCTGTTTGGTTTTGTGAATAATTTAAAACTTACCAGTCGATTTGTAGCACTGGGTCTTTTCATACCGGCCGTCTGCTGTGCATTCTGGTATAAAAAGCTCAAAGTGAATCTCAGTGAGTTCACCAAGAACATTTTTCCTGTCAGTTAAACAGTCGCTCACTGGAAAATAAAAGATAAAATATGTCAAATTTGAAAATATGTTTTGATTATAAATAAATATCAGGACCTTGAATACGTTTTTGCTGTTTCATAAGAGATGGTAGTGTCAGTGAGTTTCATTTCAAATAGTAACATAATTTTCCAAGAATTGTAGTCAGTAAGATTTTAGACCTCAGTTTATGCTTGCCACAATGTAAACCTTTTATTTTTAAAATTATTTTATTCAAGAATACAACTGGAATACTTCCGAACCTCAAAGAATGAAACGACAAAATTGTTCAAAAATAAAAAAAAGGAGTATTTTTTTTTGCTTAATGCTCTATTAAGCAACCTGCGACCCTAATGGATCTATTTTGCATAATTATGCAGTGTATTTTATTCTTAAAACATTAGTTTGGTCACTTGCGCGTATCTTAATAAGCTTGTTGGATTGACAGTCCCATAGCTATTGGGGTAATCCATCCGTTTTTCCCTAAATAGCTCCAGTCTAAGCCTTGCATATCTATCACATCGACAAATGATGTGAAAGGCTGTTTCATTCTTCTCTGGACAGAATCTGCATAGCGAGTTCGTCGTCACTCGGGGATTGAACATGTGATAATTTAATTTACAGTGGCCAAAGTAGATCGCTGTAAGCTTTTTTAGAACTGCTCTGTCCAAACTCAGTAGTAGCTTACTTCTTTTATCACATGGATCATTAAGGAACAGCTTCGAATGTTGTTTCTTCTCAGTCCAGTATTGTTTAAATTTGTTACTATATGTCTTTCTAATCCTACTTTTGGCAGTACTAAGACTGGTTCCCACAGATAGGTTCAGGAATTATGGGAATAGTATCTGAGCCTTCCCTGGCTAGTTTGTCTGTCTCTTCATTGCCTAGAATGCCGGAGTGACTCACTCTATTAAGCTCAGTCAGATTATTAAGTGCTATGGTGCATTCTTTAACAACTTTTGAGTATGAATAATAATTATTTAGAGAGTCTATTGCTGCCCGACTGTCAATATAGATTATAATCTTTTTCCCAGTCACTTTGCTTCGCAGTAGGTTTTGAGTGAATAATAAAATAAATAATCTTTGTGATAGATGCCTGCTCCTGAGCCGTAGGCTGTTAGAGAGCTATCTGTATAACAATTTATAGCATTTATTGGTCTGTGTTGTCTGCTGATGTCTATCTCGATCTCATATTTACAGTCCAGATACTCATGGATTAGCTTATCGGAGTGCATAGCCACTTCGTCACATCCAATCCTATTCAGCAGTTTTGTATGTCTCCCTTGACAAGAAAAGTAAAACAGCTCTTTAGCTTACTCAGCCTGTATAATGTATTTGTTGGCCGAGCTTCCACCTCCAACTGCAATAGGGGCATGTTCAACATTATCTCCATAGCAGCAGTCGGTGTGGAGCCCATCGCTCCAGTTATCATCATACATGCTAGTCTTTGAATTTTTTCTAATAAAGTTTAGTCTTTGTTTTGTGGCACAAAAGCAAAGCACAGAATAATATAATAGGTCTGACTGTCGTTATATATAGTCAGTATACCATTTTAGGTTTTAGTCCCCAAGTTTTCTCTATTGCTCTTTTACAGGCGCATAGGCATTTGATGGCTTTATTTGTCACGTACTAATTTTTTCTTAGGATTGATTCTCAGCCCGTTAGTGCTGCACCAATTCCACAGAATGTCAGATACTGTTTTGAGGAGATCAGAGAGAACACTCTGACGCTTCCCTCCTATTAGGATAGCAATGTCATCTGCGTATCCTTTTGTATATATACCTGCGGTGTTTAGGGCTTCCAAACAAACATTTAATAAATTTAGAATTGGTAATAATTTATCTGAGATATTTGAGGTGTATTCGGGCTTAAAACAAGGCGATTCTCTTTCACCTGCCCTATTTAATTTTGCATTAGAACATGCCATTAGAGAGGCGAAACATACGGAAAAAGGTTTGAACATGGGTGGAACAATATCCGTGCTTGGGTATGCTGATGATTTGGTACTATTAAGCGAAGTGATGGAAACAATAAAACTAAATACAACAACGTTGATAAAAGCCAATAAAGAACCAGGACTCGAGATAAATACAGAAAAGCAAAATATTGTTAGCAGCGACAATTTCGATGATATCAATATAGAAGGGAATGTGTTTGAAGATGTACAGAATTTTAGGTAGTAATCTATGATAACTAGAAAAAAAAAATTGAAGAGAAGATTAAGGCAAGGTTGAAGGTGGGAAGAAATGCTTGTTATTTTTCTCGGTCAAAACTACTTATTTCTAGCTTCCTCTCATGAAACTTAAAAATTTACAAAACAATTATCCTTCTTACGGTTCTTTATGGATGCGAAACATGGCTGCTTACATTAAGGGATGAGCAACGTTTTAAGGTTTTTGAAAATAAAGTATTGTGCAGAATATTCCGTCCCAAAAAGGACGAGTCAACTGGAGAATTTAGGAGGTCGCACCACGCTGAATTGCGTAAACTGTATCCGGTTAATATAATTGAGATAATAAATTGAGACGAATAAAATGGGCATGCAAAATTTCTGGGCTTAGTAACAAAGAATTCCTGAAAATATGTGAATATGTGCTGTGCCGACTGGCAATTGTCCGGGGAGTAGACCAAAGCGAAGGACAATTGTGCTTTCTTTGGTCAAATATAATATTTCATTTAACATAATAGACCAAAATATTAGTAAAAATTACTTTTCTAAATGCTTAATATTACCTTTCATATTCAAAATGAGTCCTCGATCATAAGATTTTTTAAATTATTAAAAAATATAAAATATACCAAAAAAAAATGCCTTTGAGAAAATAATAAAGTATATACCAGCCAGGAAAAAAACGGTAGTAGAATAGTAAATGCAATGTCTTCGAAAAAGAAGAAATTATAACGTATATCAAATCTAATGTATTGTATCTTTGTTAATAATGTTCCTATTTTTACAATTTTTTTGTTTTGAAGGAAATTTAGTAAATTTTCAAATAAAAGTGGGTCTAATCCAGAAGAAAATTTATACTTTTTAAGTTATTCACAAATAAAGTTTCTTTTCATTCATAATTTTTTTTGTTGAGATTTTGGGTGGATTCCTCACTGCTCCATTTAATACCCTTATATTTGATACCTCATTAATCAAAATCCATTGCTTCTGAGAGCCAAAAAGGAAATGTTACTTCGAAAAACTATCGTATATATAAAGATTTTCACAAAATAAGAAACAGCAAGAACTTATTCAAGGTCCTGATGATAATTTTTTTAATAATATAATAAAATATTTACCTTCTGGTTCATCTTTCTTCTCAGGAGGTACTTCTTCGACAGGAGATACCCGCTCGTTGAGGAGACCTGGAAGTCCTGGAACATTAATAATCTACTTAATCTGTTACGATCAATTTCAATATCTCATTATAAAATTCGTTTTCTCTTAGTTATGAGAACCTAAAAGAACTGTTAATAAAGTCATTTTACAATATTTACAATGCCATTACATAATGTTAATTTTATTAAAAAATATTCTGTTATTTCCTGAAAATAATGTATTCATTGAGTTATTTTATATATATCACTTTGGTCGTATTTTCTTTAAAAAAGTTTACTATAATTTTTCTTTCCAAAAAATATAAATATATAAAATTAGTAGAAAACCAGAAAATTTCAGAAAACTCTGCAATAGATTTTGTTTTGGTCTGCAAATATTTTATTAGCGCAATATAACGTGATTCTAGGTATAGTACTGATTTTGAAAATGTATTTTGACAGTTTTAATATGAGGGCTGCTTTAAAAACTCTAAGAAGATATTGATTGATAAGAGAACTGTAAACATGTTATGTGCATCAAAGCATCAAAAACAATAATTGTTTTTAATTTAAGATAAAAAAAAAAATAATCATAAGCGAAATCAATCGGCAACGGAATGAAAGAAATATAAATTGATCACAGTTAGTAATCTTGAATTTGCAGATAATCTGGTTATTAAAGCAAAAAAAAAAAAAACCTAAGAAGCTCAAGAAATATTCTTAAAACATTAAAACTAAAAGGCATCCACATGAATGCTGTGAAATTACTACAACTCAATATGGAATAATACCAGGTGGAGACGTATTTTTTACCAAGTATCGCCAGTCACATTTAGTAACAGTTACTTTTAGTAAAATGGCAATTATTACTTAGAAATTGTGTCATAAAATAATAAAAGTTTTATTGAAAATTAATATTAAACAATAGATAAATACAAAATGGTTTAACTTTGAGAATAACAAATATTCTAAATATTTAACAATATTTTTTTGCTGTTTAATATTTCTTTTTTTTATCATTATTTGTATGTCCTTTATTTGTGATGAAAGATTGTTATTTAATTTTAAAGAACTAATTTTTTTTCTTTAATGTCACTCTCAATAAAGCAATATGTTTATGATCTAGATTATAACATCATTAGATACAACCGATATAAATCATGGGTATTTGACAAAGCTATAACAAGTGACAAAAAAGTAACTGGCGGTTACTTGGGTAAAAAAAGGTCTAGTGTCGCTATTGAATAACGAGATTGATGTTATATAACATTTTATTTTGATTTCATACATATTTATTATTGCCTTCTATACACACCCCTCCTCTACCCACACAACACTCCATTCAAATTTTCCATCGTAAGAAACAGTTCGGGAGTCTTCAAAGAAATATTCTTATAAGTTCAGGAATTTTTTACCATTGACAGTATCTATTTTATTTTAAAACTTTATTTGTAGGGAAGCTTTCATTGTCTGTGCACCATATTCATCTCTATAATTATAATACTAATAATAATTTTTCAGTCTAAGGTCTATAAAACTACGATGTTCACTCATTCAGAAATGCGTGGTGTGGGGACTTGAACAGTGAAGTAAGGAATACACCGCGAAACCTATCTATTGATCTTTCAAACCTAATACAGAAGGTTTATTTATGGAAAAATTGTCAGTATTTGCAGTTAAAATTTCTTTAAATAAAAAAATAAATACAATTTTTTTTAATAATTTAAAAAAAATTAACAAATTACGACTGCGAATTCTGATAATTTTTATTTGCTTATTCCATTTTTTATGGCTCTCAGAAAAGTTGGGTTCTTCCAGTGCATAGATTGATGCTTCGTTTCAAGATCATAAATAAAAAACAACTATTTGTCAGTCCGCATTAAAAGAAACAAGATTGGAGTTCATTGAAGTTGTCCCGAAGGAGCTGACAGAAGAAGACTTCCGTTTTCAGCGAATGGAAGATTCACATAGAGCATTGTAGGGATAGAGGAGGAGTGAGTATTGAAGGTGATAATAAGTAAATAGGTTAAGATGACCAGATTTTAACATTGGTGAAGCAGGACTCTAGGGCATTAATCCCCCACCCTCTCCCTGGTCCAGGAAAAGCCCTGTATAGTCTTAAAGGAGAGGAAGGGGAGGGGAAAAAAAAAGAAGTATAATTTGGAGCAAATATTTATCAAGTGACAGACATAGTATTCAGCTGAAATTTTTGAGAATTTAGCTCGAAGGGCAAATTTTTGAGAGCGAATAATTTGACATCTAACTTATAACTTAAATAATAACACAGTTTTTAAGACAAACAGTTTGTACACAATCAAGCAGCTGTTTTTAAAAATGCTAAAAACTTATTAAAGATGATATTATTTCGGTAATCGAAGTAGTAAATGAAGTTAATTTGCTGAATTTTAACAACTGATTAACAATAAGATAATCAACAATGACTTTGCTAAGCAGTTCTTGATAATTTGTTCTAAACAATCAATCGTTATTATTAAATCAACAAAAATAATATAAAACTCATATTCGGACAAAATAGCTACATGGCTGCCGAAAACCGTATATTCTCCTGTCGTTATCTAGTTTGATGTGCATTCTTTTCGAAAATCAGGACTTTTTGAAAACGAGACTGGTCACCTTAAAATAGGTATTAAATCAAAATAAAATGTTTTAGAACATTAGTCTCGTATATGTCTACCTGGCAGGGAAAGCAAATATATAGAGCTTAATAATTGGATTGCGTCATTGGCAAATACAGCTTATTAACACCAAATTACTCTAAATTGCTTTGAAAGACATTTACTATTTCTATTTTAAGAAATGTTGATTCTATATCAATGTTTATATATCCATTATAATATAATGTTAAATATATGAATTAATAAAAGCATTAATTTAAATTAGGTGAGTGCCAAGTTTCAGGGTTAGACTTTAGTAGAGGTACATGCAGACAGATTTAACATTAAGGGCTATGTTAATGTTTTTAACAAGCATGCTATATCTAAAACTTGCTCAATAGTAAGTTATACCGTAACCATAATGTGATAGTTACCTTTTACCGATGATATTAATAGTATAGAAAGCCTTTTAAAAAGCTGCTAAGCATCATGAAGAATTAACATGTGTGTTATTGGGGAGTGAATAAACGCTACAACTCCTACAATAATGTATAAGTTTTCTTTTAGTTCTTTTTGCTTTAAGTGGCAGCTGACGTTCGTTTAAATCTTCAAGAATATTTTTAAAAAATACATAAAAACAACTGACCATACTTAAAGAAATTTGCACGGTATAATTGGGGAGAGGGGAGTAACACCAATTATTACAATTTCAAAGAATAGGTGAGGCCGGAAAAAGATTTTAATTGAGGCTTTCATTTTTTTGTTTTTTTAAATTAAAAACACTTTTCAAAACAAACATACAGTAGACTCACAATGAGCAAGACATAATTTATGAATTAAATAATAAAAATAAGATATATATATTTAGAGATGAATTTTTAAGATTATCTTGGATGAATAATAATCAGAATTTTCAGTCATAATATGATTATTTTAGTTATATATCATATTTCCCACCCAAGTTTGTGTGGGTAATTATCAGGACTAAAATAAGTAAAATAAAACTAATCTGTTCGTGTTCTTGTATATTATTTTTACAGAATCACAAAGTTCTACTCTGAATGTTTAATTCTACTCCAAAGATATCTTAGTAAAGTATTGTGGATTAGCCTGATCATTTATAGACCCGGAATATGTAAAATTTAAAATGGTTTGATCAGTTCTTGTTTTTTAAATTTTTTATGTGTGTTTCAAGAGAACTTAGCAGACAAGGCTTGATTGGTAGATTTTTTAAAAATTTTCGATAAAGGGAACTATTTTTTGAAATTAAATAAATGGTTGAGAAGGGATACATTGTATAAAAATTAAACTCTTAAAATAAAAAAAAATGATTTCGTAAGTTGAAAAATTGGCAAATTTTATATGACAGCAATGAATTGTTGGTAAATGTTATGATTTAAAGAAACACACAAAATACTGTCATTTATTGGAAGCCTGCTGTATAAATTAATTCCAATCACAAAATCAATTTTGATGTTCATTTTTAAATAAAATTCTGTTCACCTGGGCTAAGATGTGGGCTTCCAACTTTCGAAGATGATTTCTTCTTCTTATCTTTAAATTTTTTGGCTGTAAATGTAAAATAAATTTAGAAACAGTGAAATTTGAATTTTATTGGAATGGATCTTTTAAGTTTTACCTACTCTAACTTACCAATTGGCTTTTTGACCAAACAATTTGTCCATTCTTGATAAGTAATGGTTGCGTCTTTGTCTTTGTCGCATATATTTATGAAATTTTTAGAACACTTCTTAGGTTTAACAGCTTTTCGGACTAGCTTTTTTAATTCTTGATACTCATTTAATGTGAGATTTTTATTCGAATTCATATCCAATGTTCCAAATTTCCATTCCACTCCCATTTTCTCAAGTTCAGTTTCATTTCCTACACAGAAGTTTTTTTCATTTTATAATAATTATTATTATTGTTACAATCCTACAACTGATGCCACTCGAAATAAACAAAAGAAAACTTACCACTTGCAGGAAGCATATCAGTCCTATTGAATTCGACTTTAAAAATCCTCACGAGGTTGTTAATTAATTTTGTTCTGTCAATTTTTCTGCAAGCTGCGTTCAAATAAAGCTTTGTATAGTTTATTTTTTACATTTTTTTGTTTTAATTTTTGCTATCTAATTTACAAAAAGACAACAACAAAAAATTACCTTTCCTATGCTTGTGTTCTCTTCTCATTGGGTCTCGACGCTGTTTGTCTAAAAATAAATGTTTTGAATTATAATTAAATAATGTCTTATAACAAAGGCAGTACAATTTCCAAGTTTACTATAGCTTGTTTATAGTTATACAACTTAAGAAACAACATCTTGGGAAGAGTCGCAGGATGTAGAAGGGGACCCTACATGGTCAGTCAGAATGACATTATGACTGATCGGGTACGGTTAAGATTGATGTACTGGTGTACCTAAACTTAACTTGACCAGTACCACTACAACCCATGAAGGGTCTTGGGTACTATTTAGGGAAAGTGTGCAAGGAGGTGATTTGACTGAGATCACGCTCAACAGCAAGGTTTTCCTCCACAATTAATTATTTAATTAAAGTTATCCACTTTATAGAGGTTGGGTGTGCCCCCGGAGGATCTCCTGACGACAGAGTGGCCCAACGGCTGATGAAATGGAATAAATAATTTTTCTGTCATGATCCGAGGTTCGAACCAGGGACTTTGAGCACTGAAAGATCAGTGCCCCACCACTGAGCTATACCAGTCCCGAACTGTACTAATAAATTTCCGAAAATCCTGAAATACAAGCTTCAATCATGACTGAAATACAAGCTTCAATCATGACTGAAATACAAGCTTCAATCACGAGAAGTGGAGGGACTAACATATCAACTAGATTAGTTAGTTTACCTAGATTTTAATCTTACTACCAATGTGTATTCCCAATTTTCATTTTAAATAAACAATTTTCCATATCATAAATTAATATGTTTATAAACCATCTTGTAAATATATATATATATATATATATATATATTATTTTTTTAACTGGCAGGTACCCACTTTCCACCTAATGGTCTAATATAGGAGAAACCCATCATTTCTGAAGCGTTTTAATACTTCTCCTCACTGGTGTTTACATGTGACACCTGTGGTATAAGTTGTAAGCTACATAGGAGGAGGGGTAATGTGTCCCCCCTTCAAATTAAACCATGTAGGGGAGTTATTTTTTATCAAATTGTTTTTATATAATAAAGATATATTTTTGTGTATGTAAAGTTTTTATTGAACAAACAAAGATATACACCATAGGAAAAAAAAAAAAAAAAAAAAAGACTTGAATGGTTACAGAAAACAAATGAACCAGAAACACTTCAACTGATTTATTTATAATATCAATTTAAATATGTACAAACTCAATAAAATAAAAATATACAGCTGTGATTATTTAAAAATTAAAAAAAAAAAAAGAAAAAGAAAATGGTAAGCCATTATTTTCTATTTTCTACCTCTTCTTTCAGTCTGTTTTTAATGGAATTGAGCAATTTTTTGGTGAATTCTGTTCCTATTCGGGAATTCGTTAACTATGATGAACGTTTTAATTTTTTATATTACAATGTGAAATGTACAATTTTCAACTGTAGGCAACACAGCTGTTATAAAAGGTTTTTTTAAAAACATACGTTAATTATTATTCTAATTAAATTGTGTATGTTTATAAACTCTGCTTTGTAAAATTTGCTGAAATATAGTTTTTTTTTTGTTTTTAAATTGCACTCAAATGCTTAGATGTAGAGATGGTTGACTGTAAAATAATATGAGAAAGTCGTAGTCTATCAACTGTTTCCTGTAGTGTCTGATACAACGTCCTGTTGAAGACCTGCAAGGTGGCTCGAAAGGTCGGCGAAACAATTAAAAATACTATATATTTTTTTTTTTAGTATTTATTTGACCAAACTCCTCGACCAACTCCTTCACAAATACTACTTTATTCAAGTCTTTTTTGCTAGAACTATCGTGTTTACTAATTTCTACATCCAAACTAAGATTTGGTGAATGTGATGTAGTTTTGATGACTTTAGAGCAGTTATAAAGTATCCATTCCTTAACTAACATGGCAAAGTGTTTGGGATCATTATCCTGATAAAAAGTAAATTTGTTTTTTAGCCCCAGATTTTCTACAATTTCTTCTCAAAATGTCTATGTAAACATATTTATTCACTATACCATGTGAATATTTCCTACAATAGAAGCCACCATACATCCGCACACTAAATAAATTATCTAAAATAACTATTTTTTTTTTTCCATGAACCGGAAAGCAAAGACCACGCGAATATCATTTCCATTTCCTCTTCACTCCCTCGGCCTTCCTCTTACTCCAATACTCTCTCATTCTCCTGGACTGTTCCTCTCGCTCTTCCTTAGTCCATTTTCTTCCTCGTCTCTCCCTCTCACCTACAAGAACCCCAACCCCTTTCAGTTTTTCCCTAAAAAGCTCTCCATCCAAGCAATCTTTATCCGTGATTTTTAGCCTGTCTAGTTACTCTTTTATTTGTTTTACATATCCTCCTATACTTTTATAGTTTGCAAACTTTGTCAAAAATTTTCTTGTCAGTCTTTCACTGTTCATCCTGACCATGTGCCCGTAGAAACTCAAGTCTTCTGGTCCTGATGACTGCTTCCAAATTTTTGTATATTTCTTTATTGAATTTTAGCCTGTATCCTTCTTGCGTTACCTTGGGTCCATGTAAAATAATTATTGTTATACAAAATAAATTATTAAAGGCAGGAGATGGTCCGGGGTTGCGTTCATAAATAGGCTAACTAGTGGTAAAATTATTTTATTGAAAGGCTTTCAATAAAATAATTTTACCACTAGTTAGCCTATTTATGACCGCCACCCCAGACCATTTCCTTCCTTTATAATGCAATGGTCAACTATTAAATATTCAATATAAATTATTGTTTTCATTTTAATATAAATCGAACTATTTATTCATTCAAAAATTTCTATTAATGTCCAGGTGTATAATTTTGGCTGTGTATATATTACATATATACTGTAGTAGTAAGGTGAGCTTTGCAGGGAATAAACAGGATTGTCAATATTGGAGGTAGAAATTAGTATACACGATATTTCTAGCGAAAAAGACTTGAACAAATATCTCCTCGAAGAGTGGAACTTTCTCGTAACACAAAAAAGTGAATAATAATGGGAACTTGAATAAAGTAGTATTTGAGAAGGAGTTGGTCATGGAGTTTGGTCAAATAAATACTAAATTAAAAAAAAAATACTATTTTTAATTAAGAAGGAAGGAGATGGTCCGGGGTGGCGGTCATAAATATGCTAAATAGTGGCTAAACTATTTAGCCTATTTATGACCACCACCTTCCTTTATAATGCACCACTACCTTCTCCTTCCTTTATAATGTAATGGTCAACTATTAAATATTCAATATAAATTATTGTTTTCGTTTTAATATAAATCGAACTATTTATTTGTTCAATAATTTCTATTAATGTCCAGGTGTATAATTTTGGCTGTAGAGAGAAACACTTTATTTTCATAAAATATAAAATATAAAGGATTGCTGCCCAATTACATTGGGTTGCTATACACACAGCATACTCTTCTATCCTTAAGACAATATATGAACTTATAAATAAACAGAAGTATTAGTTAATATTAGTAAAACAGAAATATATATATATATACATTTTTATTATTTTATTTATCCTTATAATTTTTTTTTTTTTTTTTCCTTTTTCCCTCTTCTCATTGTTCATGCTTTTTTTTTTTTTTTTTTTTTTTTTTTATTTAACATTAAGTTTCCCTTTCTCTCACTTCTCTCTCTTTATCGCCATTGTTTTCAATTATTCACTAAAAAAATAAATAAACAAATACATAAATTAAAACTCTCGGGCTAGCCATGCACGTGGTGGTGAATGATTCCCAGGGAGTCGAGGACTATATTTTCAGCCAACCTCGCTACGTCCTTAATGTCGACACCTAGTTCCTCGAGGAAGCTCCTTGTTCTTTTTGGGATAGTTCCGCGAGACCCAAACCAGAGGCCTCTCACGGTGAACTCTCTCTCTCCGAAGGTCTCACGGAATTTCTCTTTTAGGAAAGGGATACATTTATCGTACGTGTTCTTCTTTTCCCTTTCCACTTCACCCGCCTGATCGAGGTCATTGCTCTCAAAGCGGACAGTTGGATCCAAGATCAGCGCTGTCCTTCCTGTCTTGGGAAATGCGACGATATCAGCGTATCTCGTAGAGCCCTCACTATCGATGCAATATACCTCGTCAAAGCAGGTGAATTTTTTTTCCCTAAGGAGCCTCATCAATTCGAACTTGACCCGGTGGTGACGACGTGTTATGAGGAGGGAGTTGTTGGGGCATTTTCCCAGCACATGTGCTGGTGTTTCAGACTCTCTGCCGCATTTACGGCAGAGGGACCCAACTTCTCTGACCTGTCCGCTGACTCCTGGGACTCCACGCAGGGGTGCATAATTAATGTTTAGTTTTAGGGCATTCGACCATTCAGACCCAGAAAGTACTTGCTTTTCGTAGATGTATCTATTCGCTTTCGGGGTCTCTTTAAAATGGCGAACACCAATACCCTGCCACCTGCAGTTGGCCCATTCCTCAAATGCATTTTCTCGTAGCGACTGCCGTAGAGCTTTCACATTTCGATGCCCCTGATCAACCCCCAATCTCTCGGCACATTCAGCAATTTCAGCCGAATAATCGAAGGTAGACTGAAAAAGGGCATCTGGTACATTGGACAGTCGCTGAGCAATGGACCAATGTTGAAGAGGAGCCTCCCATTGGCAGCGGATTAATCCCAATCCTCGGTATCTCCTGGGGGCATACAACATCGCTGTGGAAGTATTCGCAGGCAGTCCAATAATGGCCTTTACGCTCCTGCGAATCATAGTGTCGATGCCCTCCAGTATAGCAAGACGTAGCTTTGTTAGGGGCGCAGTTTGGAGAGGGTAAGTAAGACCCGGGAACAGATATTGATTGACAATGTTGAGTTTCTGCTCAGGTTTAAGTAAGCAAGAGGTTACCAGCTTGTTTAGATTATCATTCAATTTAGTCACCGAATCTTCGTTGAATTGCAGCTCTCCCGAGAATGTACATCCTAAATACTTAATCGTATCTCCATTCTTCAATGTTTGGATGTACTCACCATTCTCAAGGGAGAGCACCGTAGTTTCCAGCTCTCCTTTATTTATAACGATGCCCATACTTTTTAGAGGATTTATAGCCAGACCAATTTCTTTAAATGTTCTTTGTATGCTGTCAATCACTCTTTCTGCAGCCCCCTTGTCATGCGCCGACACTGCCTGGTCATCCGCGAAACCTGTGAGGACCACACAATCTTGCTCATTCCTTAATTTGTATCCAAATTTCTTGGAAAAGTCCTCGTCACACAGGTCGCGGTAGAGATGATCGATGGCCAGGTTGAAGAGTGAAGACGACAGGGGGCCACCTTGGGGTACACCGCGCAGCACTTTGATCTGGCTAGTTGCATGGACACCGTTGCCAATCTTTATGGTGTTCGTGCTAAGGAGAGCTGATATGACATTTGTAAGATTCGGTGACACACCTCTCGCTTCTAAGGAGCTTACGATGTGTTTGTGTCCAACATTGTCAAAAGCACCGACAACGTCAAGGAAAACTATCGCACAGTCATTTTTCATTTTTTGTGCATCTTTTAATACCGCGTCGATGATCCTCGCGTTGACGTGCGTTCCCGGGAGGCCTTTTATAAAGCCTCTCTGACTCTTGTGGAAGGTGACCTGCTTTCTTAACTCGTAGTCCAGAACCTTCTCTATGATTCGGCGCACAATCGAGTATATGGTGATCGGTCTCCAGGTAGAGATATTGTTTATATCACCTTTGCCCTTATATATCAATATTGTGCGCCCTTGTCGAAGTGGTTCCGGAACATAGGCCACCTTCAGCATTATCTCTGCAATCGTTTTAATAATGCTTGATACCTCAAAATATTTTATTGTGCGGATCAGAACTCCATCAGGCCCCGGCGATGTGTCCATTGATGTTGATTTAATGGCTTTCCTGATGGCTTCTATCTCAATGGACAGCAAATCCGGCATCGGGGTACACTGTTCGTAATCCGCACGCCCGCAGAGATTTTCGTTCTCAAAGAGGTCTTTATAATGCCTCTCGATATCGGCCATTTTTAGAGGACACCGTTTAGGAGCGTCGGCATTCATTACAGTTTGCACAACCTTTTTTCTTTTATTATAATAATTATATTGGGCAACCTCGTACTGATACTGCTCTTGCCGACGACTCCTGTCTACTTTGTTTGCCCTCTGCGGATTTGAGACTTGTCCAGCACCCTTGTCAGCCATTTTCATTTTATTTTTTTTCCTCATCCTATAAAATTTTACGGCTGGGTGCTGGGGACCTGGCAGTTCCGCATTAATGACTTTGAGGAACTTTAGGAACTTGCCTACGGCCTCATCAAAATCCGCAGTATTCACCATTTCTTGCTTTAAAAGGTTCTTGAACGTAGTAGACCATTCAACAATGTCCTCTTTTATTTTTGATGACTCACCCTCTCCATTTCTAGGACCTATCACGTTCTTTACTATGCCCCTCAATGTATTATTATTCGCCTCCCTGGGATGTTTTTTTGCAATGTGGGTTCCGAGACCTCGTTCGCCCTTAAAAGAAAGCCCGCATATCGGACAAACTTTATCATCAGGGCGTAGAGCTTCATTTTGCCGCTCACTAAGTACCTCTGCGACATTCAGCGGATCATTTGGCAATCTGGGAAAGACATCATCTATCGACACCGTCTTTCCCAATACCACACCTTCTGTGTCAGGCCATTCCACTTTAACAAATTTATTATCTCCGCCTCCTGCAGTAGCCACAGACATCACAGAGGCAACAACCGCCTCTTGAACAGGTCCTCCAGTTCTCAGAACCCATACCTTTTGTCCAACTTCGATCTTCTTCGTTGGTATTTTGTTCATTGCAATATTTTTTTTTTTCGTTCTAGACTATGCCCATCACGCGCATGATTGAAACAATCTGTGCATAATTAAATAAATAAATAAATACAAAGTTAAAAATATTACACATATAGTGTAGTAGTAAGGTGAACTTTGCAGGGAATAAACAGGATTGTCAATATTGGGCTACTTTAGACATTCATCTCAGGAATCTGAGTGCTTTCTGGTTGATCATGAAAGCTAATTTCAGTATAAGTATAGAGTTTTTCCTCCTGACCTAGTTACACTTCACTCGGACACTATTTATTGCTTAATTTGTTTATTATTTAACCAAAATATATAATGTTATAACTTAGACAACTAGATAAATGTTAGATGAAAGGATAAGTACGTGTGACACAAACTGGAGTGCTATTCTTGACGGAGGTGTTGCTGAGAGGCTTCCCCTGAGGGGTGACGCACCAGCAGTAGCCGGTGCCCTCGTGGCACTGGATGGGGGCGTACTGTCCGCTGGGCAGGCACTTGGGGACAAAGTCCAAGCCCACCTCTCCCTTCCTAGCCTCCTGCTCTGCGAAGCACGGTTGTTCATCTGAAAGAATAAATTGCTTTATTAATACAATTTATTATTTTTTTTGTTATTTTATTTTAAGTAACAAATGAAACACATTCAAATCATATATACAGAAAACATAAAATAAACAAAGTCAAAATAACAACTAAATAATAATCAAAAAGGATATACACAATAAAAAATAAAATAACTTAAAAATAAGGAAATTAAAAACCAATAAAACACATACATACCTATTGTAATATACATCCCTAATTTAAAGTTGTTAAAAATAGTTCAATCAATTAATTTAACAGTTAAATGGCAAGCTAATTTAGTTCTACTAGTTCCAGGAAAAGAAAATAGCTGCTCTGTAGTTTTCCCAAAAAGGAAAATCCCAAAGAGAGGATGGGACAAAGAATTTTAAAGGAAGGAGATGGTCCGGGGTGGCGGTCATAAATAGTGGCAAAACTATTTTATTAAAAGCCAATGCTTCAACCCGACTATGCAGGTATTCTTCATTGAGGTGTGTTCAGCTAGGAGTTTCACATAGAACTTCAGTTCTAAGTGAAAATCCTAGCTGAACAAAGAAGACCTGCAAAATCGGGTCGAAACATTGGCTTTTAATAAAATAGTTTTGCCATTATTTAGCCTATTTATGACCGCCACCCGGGACCATCTCCTTCCTTTATAATGAAACGGTCAACTATTAAACATTCAATACGACAAAGGATTTTGTTTTTGCAAACAGTTGTGTGGCTGCAGTGAAGAAAGGATAGGAGAAGGGATCCTGGCTCCAGTGGGTAAAACCCAGTAATAGTATTAACATCTTGGAAGTTGTTGTTTGGCAGAGAGACTAGTTGACAAGAGAGAGGATCTCCCAGGAAGCTTGAGTTGAGTAGAAGAAAGCGTCAACATTTTTCAAGATGTATTTGGCAGAACATTGGAAAATGTTAGAAAACAAATAAATTTAGTGCAACAAAGGAAGAAACAGTATATATAGAAAAAAGGTTAGCTTGCCAATTCACATTTGACTTTTTTTTAAAAATCAAACAGTGTTTAGTGTAGTTAATGTTAGTCTGTCTGAGTCTCTTGATCTGATTGTCAGTAACCTATACCTTGTGATAAAATAATTCTACATTTTAATATATTAATACTCTCATAATTTTGTTTATTATTTAACAACCTCTTATTTCTTTTGGAACAATCCCAACTGTATAAAGTGATATTCCACGAGGTCATATTATTATTTGTAAAATATAAGAGAAATTTTATACTATATAAACTATTTACTATCAGGCAAGGGAACTCCGAGGCAGCCTTGCCCCTCCAATTATGGAGGGTAAAGCAGGATTCCAAGAAATCCATGTGCTACTCTCTCAAATGTATAACCATACTAAAGCCAGCAACGACTGATCGAGAGCACTTTAGCCACATGCACTCATGTCTTGAGTGGGGAATCTGACTATTGACAACTCCAATATATACAATCTACAAAAGGTCGCGGGGCCAATGCCGTTTTAACGTTCTTGGATGATTATAGAGATTGGTGGTGCTTGATAGGGATTGTGCAAGAGAATTTGGATGATGCATAAGATTCTGGTGAAATTTTGAGAATATTTCTGGGATGAGATCTAAGACAAATGGTATGTAGATTTTTTTTTGGTTATATAGAATGGAGCATCGACTATTGTTTGAAGGATTTTGGACTGAATGAATTGGATGTGTTTGAAGTTAGAAAAGTTTGCTGTCTCCCACAGTTCTAGCCCGTAAGTCTAAATAGGTTTCAGTATTGTCTTGTATATCAGTAACTTTTTTTCGATAGAGAGTTTAGATTCTATTTAGTAGTCTGTATAGTTAGCCGTGTCATCAGTTAAGTTCCTGTCTTTTAATTCTAGTATCGGGGTTCCACATTGGTCGTCTGTCTAAGAGAAAACCGAGATACTGGACTGTATCCTAGAAAGGAAGCTGGATGTAGATAAAATACTCTGATGGACAGGATTTATGACAAAGAGTGAAGGTAACATGTTTACATTTGGATTCCTTTATGTTAATACGCTATTTCATACACTAGAGTTCAATCAGGGAGAGGTGCATTTGTAGGTTTAATGACGCTTTTTTAGGGTCAGAGATGCTTAAAAGGATAGCAGTACCATCAGCGAATATTGCCAGGAGGGTATCGGGAAGGAGAGCTATATCTGAGGAAAAAAGAATGTAAAGGATAGGACCCAAGACGCTGTCCTGCGGAACTCCCGCGTCGATTAATGCAATTAAAGAGTGGAAATCTGTTTCAAATCAATAACTACAGAGGAATCTATGTTATTAACCCTTTTGCCAAAATATTAGGGAAACTTATAAGAAATGAATTAGAGCATGGGATTAAGGGTTCAGAAGACCAATGTGAATTTAAAGAGGGAAGATCGTGCATTGACCATATATTCATCCTGAGTCAATTGCTGGAGAAACATCAAGCCGTTTCCAGAGAAATTGAACTAATAAAATAAAATGAAATTATTATAAAATTATTTTTCATTTCAATATTTATAGACCTGGAGAAAGCATATGATAGTGTTACTCGAAGACTATTATGGCTTGCCCTCCAAAATGGCAACATTAATATAGATCTGATAGATATAATAAAGGAAGTTTACAAAGGAAAAACCACGGGCGCGCTGGTGTTCCTTTGAATTCTCTATTACAACTATTCTTCGTTACGATCTCTTATTTCTTCTTTAGTTAATTATCAAATTCTTTTATATATTATATTTAACTATCTTTTCAGACACAGACCGGTATCTTGGCTTTCTCTTAGACCGAAGACAAACGTGGAACCCCCATACTAGACTTAAAAGACAGGAACTTAACAGACGATACGGCCAATCATACATACTACAGACTAGATGATCTCAACTTTCAATTGACAACAAATTACTGATCTACAAGACAATCCTGAAACCTATTTGGATCTACGGACTTGAATTTTGGGGGACAACAAAATTTTTAAACATCAAATGCATCCAATCCTTTCAGTCCAAAGTCCTCCGAACAATAGTCGATGCTCCGTTCTATGTAACCAACAAAACCCTTCATCATGACCTTAATATCCTATTTGTCCTTGACCTTATCCCTGAAAATTTTTCAAAATTCCATCAGAACCTTATCAATCATCCAAATCCCCTTGCCCAATCCCTATCTAGTTCCACTCATACCTACAACCCTCCTCGAAGGTTGAAGCGGCAGTGGCCCAGATCTTTTATAGTATATATCTTGGAGTTCTGGCAACGGACAGATTCTCCATTCAAGACATTAGTGTACGTGGCTAAAGCGCTCTCGCTCAAACTCCACTAGCTTTAGCACCTGTGACGCGGTTCAGAGAGTAGCGCAGGGATCTCTCGGAGTCCTGCTTTTTTTTCTATAGTTGGAGGTAGAAGCCTGGCTTGGGGTTCCCTGCCTAATTGTATATATTGTATATAGGTATGACTGTTTTTTGTTTGTTTTTAATTTACTTATCTTTAGGTTATTTTATTTTTTATTGTACATAGTTTTTAGTTATTAATTAGTTATTATTTTACTCTTGTTAATTTTATATTTTTTTTATATATGGTGTGAATGTGTTCATATATCACAATAATTATTGTCCACGTGGCAGATTATTAAGTTTCTAAATAAATAAATAAAAAAAGCTATATTTTATATTAGAGACGAATGTGAAATGGACAATTGTTTCAAATAAAAAAATTAAAGATACCTAAGGAAAACTAATATTGAAAATTAGATATTTAAGCCCTATTAGATGAGAATAAAACATACATTATATTAAAAATGGCTTAATTTATGCTGATATAATGAATTTAATCAAAATCGTTAGAACCGTTTTCGAGGAAATCGTAAAAATGTGTTAAATCGAAGACATGAAGTGTCACTTCAGGTTAGCCGATTTTGATGAAAAAGTTCCTGTAACATTCCTAGCATATAAAAACCATAAATATGTAATTTCAATTTCTTAAGACTTTTCGTTTTTGAGCTAGACTGTTAGCGCGCACACACAGAGACCATTTTGCGGGTGTTGGTTTAGTGTGTAAGCCTGTTAGTTATGAATATTTTATTAACTCAAACAATATTTTTCGAATCCAACCGTCTCCGATAAGTGCGTTGGGGAAAATATCTAGCAAATATTTTTCCTAAATTAAAGACCGTAACACGGCTGTTGAAATACTCCTGATTTTTCTAAAGCTAAAAAAAATATATTTTACGCAAACCACCCCTTCAAAAGTACCCCAGCCCATATCGAAGAGAATCGATAGCTTGAAATATATATATATATATCGATAACTCCTTATACACTTGCAACAGTGAGAGCTACAGATGTTGAGAGTATCAGGATGACCGTGAAGAGGTTGAGAAAGGAATAGATTCTAGTCTTGGGCCTTTGGTCACGGACAGCTCCGGGATAAAGACGCCTTGGGTACATCTCCTTCTCGCAGCATCAATCTTCTTCAAATGAATAATTTCCTTATTATTAAAGAACCAATTTACACTTTCACCGAACTCTATATAAAATAGACAGAAATGGAAAGTATTGCGATCGTGAAAGTTTTCCAACAGCCTGCGTGACAGACTCCCTTTCATCAAATTATCAACATCTGTCTGAATTTTCGCGAATGATTTCAACTTATACAATCTACAATTTAATACAACTTTTTCATTTACGAAAATTCTCAAAAAATGAGTCGTTTTCTCATTAAAATAATTAATTTAATGGAGTACTATATACTCATGGATACACAAGGTAGCCTTAAAATATATTGGGTGGAGGCGCTAAACGGCTCAATATTTTTGTAGGTCACCTTATTTCTCGATTTCGTGATCGAACTATCTTATGTTCAAGTGGAAAGCTAATGGCCATTCAAGAGTTTTTATACCTTATCAAATTGACAAAGTTAATCGAACTCCAAATTGAAAACAAACCATTTTTGAGTATTTTAGTAAACAACAATGTTGTAGCTTACGATGATATGAAGCCCTTGACTCAAATAACC